GCAGAACACGTCCGGCAGTGTCAGAGTGCTTCTTGTCGACCTCAGAGACGGCCTTGAGCACTGCCTCGTAGCTGTTGTGTAGCCTGGTCTGGTCAAGGGTATCGACCAGCCTGGCGGTCTCCCTTCCAACGCTAATGCCATCGTATGTGTGGATCGTGGGGAGAACACTCGATAGGAGGGTAGCGAAGAGGGACATGTGCTGAGTCTCGAAGACAGACGGGCTGCAGACGAGACCAAGACCAAGATCCTCGGCGAGTGTGAGCGAAGAGACATAGTCGGTGACTAGGCCAGCGCTGGAGTTGGCAGAGTAGTCGACAGCGGCAATGTGAGCGGTCAATGGGTTCGCGACCGAGTAGAGCGCGGACAGTTGGTCGAGCGAAGCGCGGAGGTAGTTCAAGGTGGAAGAGGAAGCGACGATGGACTGAGGGATGTGGCGCTTCTTCAAGTCAAAGTCCTTTGAGAACATGTATCCCAATGCAATGGCACCAGCACCGGTCCTCGTCTCCAGAGAGGAGACGCCAGTCTGGTAGCCGAGAGCATTCTTCTCGCCCTGTTCTTGCCAGTACTTGACTGCTACATCCAGATCGAAAGATTCAGCCGAGTATGCGAAGATCTTGTCGGAGAGAGCGTATGCGACTTGTTGGACGAGAGTCTGGGCGGTAAGGTAGGTTGGGCCACCGATCGATTGGTAGGAGAGATCCTGACCAAACGGCAGACTGGACGACTTCTTGGTGAAGTCCTTGGGTGCGTTCTGCTCAGCACCAGGGCCAGCGGATTCTGTCTGCTGGAAATGCATCTTGAATGCAGGTATGCGCCTCAGCAACTCAGCCTTTCAGTCAAGGCAATGAGAGTCTCTCTTTGGTGTAAGAGAGAAAGTGAGAGTTACTACGACCCCACGGAGGCTTCAGCGAGGGAGTATATCCGCGTCGTGGATTTGTCGCCTCGTAGCAGCCAAAAAGTGCCGTCGTCCAGTAGCGACATCGGCAGAAGACCGACCGAGCAAGACGCAATCCATCAGACAGACCATGATTGGCTCTTTGTGCTTGCTCTAGCACGTCTTTCGGGCGATAGATTGCAAATGCGCGGAATGTCGCCTTGACGCGACGAGAATTTGGCCCTAGCGCGAATTGCGTGCTTGAGACGCCAAGATATCGGAAACGTGACTGCGGGGAAATCACGGCTCTCGGAGATCTGATCACCAACACGTCTCCTTCCGGAGTTGAGAATCCAAACCACAACTCTGGCCCTATGCCCCATCGCGCAATGTCTGTTATGCGAGAGTCGACTTCTGATTGGGCTATGTGCATGCATCTGATCATCGCATGCCTCGCGACTCTAAGTGACGCTACGCAAGGCTGAGCTTGAATGACCTGACCATTTCATTAAATCTTGTCTATCTACCTCACTAGAACATCACGAGCATCTGACGATCAGGCTCTTTACCCTCGATTGATAGTAACAGAAACCAAAGGCGTAGCGGCAGGTGTCATTACTCCCATCAACGCTGCGAGCCATACCGCCTCCTTCTCTCAAAGAGTCTGGGTTCTACATGACATTACTTTACGTCGTTGGGGCGATCAACGAAGTCGTTCATTTGTTCATTACACATACCTCTCCGCCATTCCAAAATCTCAAAGGACCTCACAGCTCGAAAACACTTGTTTCAAGCTCTTGTCGACAGCGTCGTCGACGGAGAGATCCACGTACGAGCGAATTCCAGATGATCAAAAAGGAGACACAGATAAAGAGGATGCAAAGAGCGATAGCGAACCGCGGACCACCACTGATGATGGCCGTTCGAGTGATGAGCAGACCGCTGAGAGTATGGGCGACGATAGAGACGGTAGCACGACCTGAGCGATTGAATACTCTTGAAGCTGGAGCTGAAGCTGAGGATATTCGAGATGTGCAACCGATTGGTGCCATTCCGCAGAACATGCCATTACCTCTGGAGCACTCGCCTGTAAGATGATGAGGACCATTTTCCTCAAGAGAGCACTCCAGAACAATCCTTTGTTGGTGTTTGAATAGTTGCGTGGAAAAGGTTTGTGTTCCCTCTGGCCTTGCTAGATACACAATGACATAGTCTTCATTTTGTTTTCTACTATCCGCGAGCTGAATCGACAAAGCATATGCGACATCGAGATAAGCATTCCAAGCATTACCGATCCACATCAATGCGAACTACCGAATCTGGTGGAGACCGCAGCCGATCGTGATCTTCGCACTGCCTACGATCTCCATGGGGCATTGTGGAGTCTCGTAGACCCTTTGTCACATATATTCAACAAATGAACAGAGGCTTTCAGTAGTGCGATGATGTCAGATGTCCACGCGGATGAGAGGTTCCGAGTGGGTAAGTCACGATGTTCGCGATCAGCACACAGAGCGCGCAACCGCGTCGCGCTTATCGTCATACCTCTGTAATAGCGGAATTTCGCAAACTTCAGTCTATCAAATGTGCGATTGCATCACAACAATGATGTAGCTGAATTCAGATGCACGAAACAGTTATTTGACTGCTTGTCGCTCCTTTCCAACACCTTACATCCTGGCTTACCCCAGAAACACAATTCATCCCCTAGCAAGGAAGCCGTGCGTGTCTCTATCCTGTCAAGATCTATAGAATCAGACTTTCACCCGGAAACCCCTTTCGATCAAAACAGCTTCCCGAACATGGCGTTAGACGTCCGTCACCAATCCGAAAAACTTGACAAAACACTCCAACAAACCCCCGGCATCCAGATCTTCCTCCAGCCCATCGCACCCCCAGCTGCTCTAGGTCTCGCTGGTTTTGCAGGTTCAACATGGATAACCTCATCCTACATCGCCAACTGGTGGGGCGGACCTGAATCACCCACCATTTTCTTCCCATTCGTAGGTCTGTTTGGCGGACTGGCGCAATTCATCGCGGGGCTGTATGGGTTCAAAGCAAGAGATACGTTGGTGACGGTGATCAACACCATGTGGGGAAGTTTTTGGATTAGTATCGGAATTCTATATGCTTTTGTCGTAAGTTTTCCGTTCCTGAGCAAGATCTGAATTACAAGAGAGCTAACGAGAAACGATAGGCGGCCGGTGCTTTGGAAGCACACGAAGTGCATACGCATTTTCCTGAGCTCGCATCTTGGTTCGTGATACTTTGTGTTTTCACATGGTCGGGTGCGCTCGCTGCTACAGCAAGAGATGTTGTTCTTAGCGTTTGTCTCTTCTCTCTAGCCATTGGAAGTACAATCGCTTGCTGCATGTTCGCATACAACGGTCGCCCTTCTTCGGCGGCGGATACGAGTGCATCGGGCGACAGTCTTACTGGCGGAGTTACCATGGGCATGAAAGCTGCCAGCTACTTCTGGATGTTGAGCGCGCTTTGCGCCTGGTGGAGAGTGACCGTTTATCTTGTTGAGGAGGCATATGGTCCCGATCACACGATCACCAAGTTCTTCCCTATTGGCAGGACACCCATGGAGAGGAAAGCGCCTTTGGTTATCCCTGGGCTGGGTGAGCCTGGTGTTAAGAGGGGTGTTCCAAAGCCACTGCCAGTGTAATGCAATTCGAAAGGATTGTGAGATGTATTGATAGAGTGTTGTTTGCTGGCGCAATCGTATATTCGACATTTTGGATACCCATGGCTTTGCTGTTAACCGTACCCTTATATTTCGCAGCACCAAGAAATATATAAGACATTAAGATTACTTTCACAGCATCAGCTAGCTAAGAGCATTTCAAGACAGACACCCAACGCCCAAAGCATATTTGTTTCAAGCAAAATTTCGTTCATTACTGTTGTAGCTAGTCGACCGGACGGACCGCTACTTGAAACGCCAAATGCGCACACATTGGCTCGGCAACATCATCCCGTTCTTCTTCTTCTTCTCTCAGACTCCCTTTGCCGATACTTGATACCATGCTTAGCTATGATGGTATCACACTCATGCTTTAGCAACCTCATCTTGTATCTGTTTACCAGTTTTCTTCCAACAGACTTCTCATAGGCCTCCCTAATCATGTAAAGCTCCATCTCGCCTTCTATAAACCTCAGTTCATCAGTGGTCGGTATGCCAGATGGTCGAGGAGGAGGCGAGGGCCATATAATACTCTGTTTAAAATCATCATGGACGGAATCGCGATTAGACTCTTTTTGATGCGGTCGATGCTTTGATGCATAAGTCTCAGATAAGCTGCATGACGATGCATCAGGTGAAGACTGCATCCAATCTTGCCTTGTCGAAGAGCAGGCTTGAGGTGTCGGTGGCAGACAAATTTGAGGTACTGAGGGCGGAGGAGTATGGGGTATTGATGATGGGCGTGGTTCTTTTGCTAGCGGTGGTCTTGATCGGGAAGATGGCGGTGACAGGCCTGGAAGACATCCCGTTGAGCCTAAAGATAGACATCTTTGTCTTCGTGGCGACTTCGCACGCCTTTTACGACTTGCTTCTCCTGCATTGTGCTCAGCGAGAAGCTTCCTGATCTCTGCTTCCCGTACAGATGCGATTAATGGAAATTCTGGTGACCTGCGGGGAGCCCTCCGAGAATATGGGCTTTCCAGCATGGCCTGTAAGATCTCTTCCGATGTTCTTAGCTCTATTCTTGCCGAAGGATATTTTTCGGTTGTCTTAAGAATCATGTGATGTTTGGTGAAACCATATTTAGGCTGGCCACGGTGCGTTTCAAGCAGATCTGGTGTTAAGAGTGATGGTAGCTGGTGGGGTCCAAGACAGTCCTCTAGTCCTGAGAGGACAAAAGACGCTGGTGTCTGGGTATGTTGGACAAAGACGACAATGCCACAACAAAGAGGCTACATTTAGCGGAAGTCTTGAGAAAGAAGCAGCTGAAGGCGGACGTGCATCGATTGGGAGTCCTGCGAACAAACATAGGTGGCGATTCGCGGAATTCCATGTCGGAGCAACGCGCTATGATCGCAAAGCTCTTACGCCGAGCATGCAAATCGCAGAGATGGAGGCTAGGTCGGCACATCCATTTGATGAAGATGCAGACTGACATTAGATCGCGCTGATTACCGAACCAAGCCCGCCAATCTTGCCTGCCCATCTTGTCATCATTTCTACCGCGTCTTTTCTGAGCTCCAAAGTCGGGGCAGAGAAAGCAACTGCCATGACCGGCGCGATACTACGTAACATGTCGAAACCCGGAGTTTGCGCCCGTTCGATTTCCATTGCAGCCTCCAGGATAGATGTAGCCGCTTTGGTGGCTTCGTCGTAATAATGCGCAGTCGTATTTTCATATGGCTCCAGCGGCGCGGTTGATTCAGTGTGCATCTTGTACATGAGCATGTTGACGACGAGGCGGTCGGCGATGTAATTCGATGCAATCAGTGCTACGAAAGCATTAGACGACTTTGAAGTAGATGATCCTGGACTGGTTGTTTTCGACGTACCCTTCTCCATGGGTGCAGGTGTTCTACATGGGCTTCCGGAGATGCTGGCTAGGTGAGGATATGCTAAAGCCCATTGGTCGAGGTCTCTCAAAAGTTTGCATGCCATTTGTTTGGCAGGGCGGACGTCAACATGTGACGGTATAGGGGTCGAGAAAAGCACACGCATTGAGCCGGGTATCTCGAAAGTGGCCATACAAGGAGGAATCTGAAGCTCGATATCCGCAAGACTTTGGTGCGCATCTCGTGGCTTGTCAATGAAAGGTAGTGTCATCCAATCTGGCGAGGAGTAGACCGACGTCCTGTTGAAGACTACACATTTATGCGCCTGATCTCGTTAGCGTAAAGGAAACCATCATACTGATTCTTGCAAGCTCACATCAGAGCTGCGCACGCCCTTGAACAGTGGCCAGATGACACCTGACCCACAGTTGCTCGGCCCGCGCATATTCATTATCTGGGCCGCAGCCGCGATATGAGTCATGGCGCCAGATGCAGTCGCGCCTACATATAGTTCGTACAAGGACATGATGAGAGGTACCAAAACCTCTTCTTCGTCAGGAATAGCGTCCTTCTTTAGTCTTGCTATGGATGTTCTCTGAGCGCTCAGAGCTATAGTATACCTAGAACATGCGCGTACAAAATCAGTATGTGCCTCACATGGAATTCATACAAGGATACCTCTTACCACCTCCAGGAGTCAACAAGAATGCTCGGATCGTGATGATGTTTTCCGAAGTATGCCATTGAGACCGCCCGGAGAGACAACCGGACCGCAGGCTTTCTGGCGTTGGTGTGAATCTGGTGTATATGGCCGAGCCATTGGATTTCAGGCGCGTACTGACTTCCACCCTTGTTCATCTCAACGTAGTGAGAAAGGAAAGCGGTATCTAGAGCTTCCGGCAAAACTCTTGAGGGTTGATTCATTATGGGAGGCCTGTACTGGTAGCGGATGGCTACTATGGCTTGCTCCACTCTATCAGTATCCCCGGTTGCGGAAGGTGGTGTTGAGTTTGACGACGGTGATGACGGCTGGCTTGACTTGATTGCGACTTTGCCTTGAGGAAGGATAGGACGCGGGGCTGCTGATAGCTGATCATCCTCGTTCCCACGAATCACCATTGTAGCTCTTGCCGTCTCTTTCTTCTTTCTTCCTCTTGGCTTGGTTACCCGCTCTGTCATGTCGATAACAATGGAGCCCTGAAGGGCTCCAGAGCACGTGAGGCCCAAACGACGACATTGGTTGCATGTCTCTGGTGTTTCGTCGCACTGCGGGACGGATAAGTGCTCAACTTGATGAGTTGTTGAAGGAACACACCTTGACGCGTCTAGATCGGCATTGAGCACAAGCTCTACTTCGTTGGGACTTCGGTAGCATGTCGTCTATATAAGCCCGGGTCGTACAACACGGGAAGTGAAAGAGGGAATTTGAGCGACGTAAACGAGGGAGGGATACAGGGGTAGTCAGTGGTGCAGCACGATAGTGCGGCGCGGTCTCCTTTGTCCATTTTGATTGGTGCTAAGTCAAGTTTCGGAGGTACCTTTAGGAAGGCGGGGAAAGCCGTGAGGTAGCCGCGACCCTTCCATAGCAAGTCTAGCATGTGCTAGCAAGGGTCCAAGGTGCATTGGAGCGGCAGAAGATCGCCCTTGTTCTTCTCGCGGAATATGGAAACTATCTCCGATCGCAGCCTTGCTTTGCTTTGCTTTGCTTTTGTGCGCATCATCGTGTGATATGAGGATTAAACCAGGGCAAGTGTATGTAAAAAGTAAACAGTATGACGACATGATGATGAGTTGTTTGTTTTCGCTGCACCTTGATTCGTACTAAGAGAATCTGACGCTCTCGCAAAGTCTGTATGCCATGATAATGTAACCATGAACAACGCGCGAACCTTGAGAGGTTTAACTTTAGACAAATGCCAATCGGCCACTGAGAGAAAACTGTGAAAAGGGTATCGTGTATGGGCAACCTCATGCCCCATGGTCAGTCCGTACTCCTACTCCTTGCCCAACGCAACGATGTCCTTCATTTCTACAAGCCAGACACCGTCCTCCTTCTTCCCATCCATACACTGCACTCCGGCATTGACGGCAGCCCTTGCGATCGTACTGGCCTCTTGAGCCCACCAGTCCGTCATCTTAGGTGTCAAGCCCTTCAAACCCCTTGCAAGACCCCTCAGCGCAGCCTCAGCTGGTCGTGATTCGCTCCTATCTCCAACGATCAGACCCGGGCGCACTATGACCGTATGCTTGAACCCCAGACCCTTCACGGCTTCCTCCAATTCGCCCTTCATCTTGGGGTAAGCAAAGTATGAGGTGTGGCTTGCGCCGTTGGACGAGATGAGGACGTATGTCTCTACACCGGCTTCTTTGGCGGATTTGGCAAGATCAAGGTTCAGGTCGTGGTCAATCTTGCGCTGGGCATCGACGCTGCCGACTTGTGCACGTGTCGTGCCAAGACCGCTGAAGAAGACCTTGGGTTTCTGCGAAGATGGGAACTGGCTAGGCCATTGTGAGGAGTCAGTCGCGATGATGGGCTGGAGTTTGGTGGAGCCTGCAGGGTTCGGGAGGTCGCGGCGCGCATACGCGTGTACGGCGGAGAAGGCGGGGTGTGCGAGGAGTTGGGAGAGGATGTTTGTGCCCTAGATGTCCTTGTGAGCATTTCGTGCCGTGTTAGGTCATTGTGAGTAGTGCTGGACGTACGACTAGGCCTGTGCTACCTGCTAGTACTGCGGCTGTCATCTTGTCTGCTGTATTTCTGAATTGCTTAGTAGATGGTGAGTGGATGAGTCTTTCAGTGTGAGTTGTGTGAGTCTGGTCTTATTAGTTGTGATCTACGGGCAATGATCGCACGTAAAGTTTAGTTGCGGCCGTATGCGTATAATTTTGTCCGGGACCCTGATGAGCGATAGCAACGATAAGCCGAGGTGCGTCATCAGAACAGCACCGTGGCGCGTTGGAGAAGCACCACCCAACTGATGGGATTTCAGATGTTGAGCGTCTGGTATCGCAATATGAAAAGTCTTAGGACAGGGTGGTTCGTAAATGTGAAGGAGGTGTCCGAGACATCTTGGTATGCAGGAACGCAGGCTAGGAGATGCACAATGGACCTGGTACCAAAACCAGCGCGCGCGCGAGAGGTACATTAACACACTAAATACACGAGTACAACTTCTTTCTATCGTTCGGCAATGAGCCGGGTACGGATCATCTCTTTTTGCAAAGACCTCGACCTCGCGTCAACTTGTCACACCATCGTGGTGTCACCTCTGCGCCGTAGCTGCCCTGAGTCATGCCGTCGGCGGCTGCCGACCCTGAAGAATCCGCCAAACATCACACCACTCTCTCGCGACCATCAACACAGCCAACTTCTCAGCCAGTCCAGAACCAATAGCAGGTCCCGGAAACAAGCGACTGTTTTCTACAGTGCTTATTTTCGTTTCCAAAAGCGGTTCTTTCAGTCTTGCCTGCATCTTGGTCATCGTTCTTTTCCATGTTCCTGACTTGCCCGGTCTGGTCTGTCAGGCCAGCCGTTCGGGTTGCGGCGTAAGGCTGTGAGGATGATGCGGAGGATGCACATCTCACGCGATGTTCTGGTGGTGCGATCGCGGGTTCTATGATGAAGCATAGTGTTTGTAAGTTGGTAATGTAGGTTTGATAAATAGATTGTGTTCTTCATGTTGTAGTAGCCATCCAACATTCAGTTCATCACAACAACAGCAACCAACAATACATTCCACACATCTTCACATCGAACCAAAAGCATAGAGATTTATCTTCTCTACTCAATCAATCACACAACAAGAGCATTCTCGATCTGAGCTCATCCTAGCGATACCGATACACCCATCCCAATACTCCAAACCAACCAACACTTCAACCAAACCACCACAACAATGCCTTCAGTAACTCAGGCCCGTCTCATGTGGCGCAGCGTCGCCCGCGGCATGGTAGAGCCCCACCCCTTCGCTCGCAACCCCATCACCATGACCCCTCACGCTTGGCGCGCGGCCGACCTTTCCAAGAGAGTTGTAAAGACGAGCACTGTGTAAGTCCCCTCATCTACCTTTCCCTCTCGAATTTCTACTAATTATTATACAGCTTCTTCCCGTTCTATGCAGGTATCCTTGGATGGCCAGTTGCCGCCGCCTGGTGGTTCAACGGAAACATGTGACTCTTCCTAATGGAAGTGCCGAAGCAGGAGAAGAGGAAGGGGCCGAGCAGTAAGGAAGTCGAGGATCTGATATTGAATATGCGGTGGGATGATTGAAAGTTTACCCGCATCGGCATCAGGCTTGGAGTTTGTGGCGTTATAAGCATAGCATTTTCTTTTGTCAAATACCATTCTTATTATATTCAAACATGCTATATCACACTTTCGTGAATCATTGATTGGTCGCTTTCGTTCATGCACCAAGATAGTGGAAATGCCCACTCGTAAACGCTGTACATCCTATAAATCCAACACAATTCTACCCACACCCCGGCTAACACAAGTCAGCATACTACCCGCTTTCTCCTCGTCCAATAATCCGGTTCCCTGGTGTTCCACTCTGCCACCGCAAACGTCTACCCTACACGTACCACAATTGCCCACCTCACACGAGCTATCGATATCCATACCCACAGCCTTGAGTGCGTCAAGCAGCGACTCCGTAGCCCCTACCTCCACGGTTTTCCCACTCTGCTTGAGCTCTGCTGTGAACGGATCACCCGACGTAGCTACGGTAAAGGCTTCGACGTGCACAGACGACTCTGGGATACCGTAGGATTTCGCGGTCGCAATAACAGCATCCGAAAGGCGTGTGGGACCACACGTGTAGATGTGTGTCTGATGATCGGCCTTTGCGAGTATAGCGGAAATATCTAGACGTTGGCCTTTGGATTTGTTGTAGATTGTTGCTTTGGATCCGAGAGCAGCGATCCTGGAGGGGAAGGGCACTTCTTCTGCGACAGCGTAGTGGAGGTGGAAGTCTTGTTTCGATTCCTGAAGGTATGAAAATGCCACCATGAAAGCTGTGATGCCGATACCGCCTGCGATGATGATGTGCTGGTCTGCGTCTTGGGCGAGAGGGAAGCTTGCTCTGATGCGACTGGCCGTAAGTACATCTCCAACCTTGGTCTGCTCGTGGAGGTACTTGGAGCCACCTCGGCTGGTTGTATCTAAAGCAACACCAATTTCAAAACGCTTTGAGTTCCCGCCAGTGACGGAATAAGCGCGTACTAGATTTCCTCCAAGCTTCAATATCACATGGCTTCCGGGCTCGACAGGCGGTGGCGCTAGGATATCTTCGATGGAGTCGAAGACAAAGGCTGTGACACTATTCGTCTCCCTCCGCTTCTCAATCAGACGGTATTCTTGCCAAGAATCCATCTTCTCTTCATCGCTACCAAACAACCTGCCGCTATGATCCTCGACGACACCCTGGTCTAAGCGCTTTTGAAATTTGCCCTTGATCTCCCAGCCAAGTTGTGGCAGATCAACAATCTCCTTCATCATCTCTACGTTGTTGGTCTCGTTAAACAGGTAGTACATCACCCTAGCAACCGTCCACTCCGGGTTTGGTCGCTCAAGCAAGGTGATCATGTCGCCAGCGATGACGGTACCTGGTTTGATAATGCGGTACAACCAGCCGGTACGTAGCAGCGTCTGCGCACGCTTCGCCATGTCTTTGACCTCGAAACGATGGTTGAGCTTGTAGCAAGGCGCTCGTGGCTCGCTGACTTCGACAATGATCTCGCCAATAGCCAACCGATCTCCAATGCACAAGTTCATCTCGCTGACTTCCCTGTTGGACAAGTTTTCGCCAAAAGCACCAGGCTTGAAGTGGTGTTCTGAGGCTGGTAACTGTTTCTTCCATTCGTCATAATGTGACGTGCAGTAGTGAAGGAGCGCCTTGTCTGGACCGCCATGCAAATGGAACGAATGCTCATCGCTAGGGATACCCGTCTCGCTGATTTCGACAGGACCAGTCAATGGAGCCTTGTGGATAGCCGTCTCAATCTTTCCGTTTCCAAGTGCCTTCTTGACCTTGCCAGACCGTAGTTGGATGAGCGGGAAAGGAGCGAATGGTGGTGGGTTCTTCAAGGTATTGGGGTCTGGTGGCGACGGTGGAATCCATGTCGAGATAGCCATGGTTTAACTTCGAGTGTGGTATATATGGAATATTTCGAAGTAGATT